GCTTTGGCGTTTACGCTACTTAGTATAGGGATAGCTCAATGAAACAACATTGTGTTTACTTCACGTCCACGTGCGATAGTGTCGTAGTGCGGGAACGGCGGGCAGCAGTGTAACGTATATTGTCTAATGTCTTTGGCACAATTATGTGCGTACACTACAATTGCTAGTATAATTTTACATTTTAGTTTATGCTTACTTATCAATATATTTTTGTATATTTTTAGGAGTCGGGAATAAGGAAATTGTAAAACAATGTATTTTAGAATAAATGCAAGAACATAGGCAATTGATTCAGGTCGACCACAGATCAGGTAACACTCTTGTGCGTTTCATTTAAAGCATGATTGAATGCTTACCTACATAAAGTATAGGTGATTTTAAAGTACACTCGTAAAAAATAAATCTATAAAATACCTAATCAAATAATATTTATAAAGTAATGGCATAAAGTAAAAAATAAAACACAACATGATAAAAATGCTTAGACAATATTTTAAATAAGAGATAAGAAAAGTTTTGTCGAGAGGTCTCTTGACAATGTCAATGTGACATTGTGAATAGTGTGACCATTTGTATCAGATTTCTGCCATTTGGACAGATCTTGGGCAGAACTTGTTAACGTTGTATGAGTTTGGCAGATTTGGGAATATTCAGCAAGTTTTTTATTATTAATTTTGGGTATAAGCCGAAAACTTGTTGTTTTCTGCTATTACGAACAAACATCTGAAGCAAAATACAGGACAATGTAATAAACATAACCTATATCAACTTTATAACTCCGGCTTCTTCAGGCTGTACTCAATTGGCTTTTTTGATGCATGAATCACATGTGTTCATAGGTCTCTTTAAAGCACGTCGTCAAAAACAGCGGGTCACAAAATACATGGGATGTCGCCATCCCTCTTTATAAAATGTTTTTTTTTTTATCAAATCACTTTATTTTATTTTTGAGGGTAAATGGTTTATTATTGCCTAATTTGGTTTTATTGTAGGTTTGTCTATATAACATGACTAGCATTTATGTTATCCAATTAACCTCTATGCAATTTTCTTAATCTAGATCACGATTCTAATTTCTTGCGAAGGATATGATATTAGAAAATCTAGCACAAGATCTCTATTGCTTTTTCAGTTATATCTAATGAGATAATAATGTGTGGGTGACCACGAGTTTTGATTTTAAAGCACCTATTCTACAATATTATATCTGATTGTTTTTCTAAGATATTAGGAAATTTACTAATAATTCTCACGTCTTATTTTAAGTATTATTTTTTTGTCATTACATGCATTTATTTAAACCAGTCATTAACGACAGTGCTACACTACAGATATGCGATTTGCCAAAATTAATGCAAGTGTGGAACTTGCCTAAAATTCTCGATAGGTACGTACTACCCCATGAATAATTTAATTCTCGAAATAAATATTCCTTACGTATCTAAAAAATTTTGCTCTGTTCTTATACAGAAAATGTATATTCTTATAGTATGACACTTGTACTTATGGTTATAGATATTTTTTGTTATAAATATTTGCTTCTAGTTTGTGTGCGTATCATCTAATGGTTATGTTATTTTTTCTTCTTTTGTACATAAGTGTGCTATGTTTTTCTTTTTTGGAATAAATTATATTTTTCTTTAACAAACTTTGAAAAAGGAGGACGTTTTCAATTCGATTTTATTTTTTTGTGTGTTACACGATTACTCATTTGTGAACCGATTTTGATAATTCTTTTCTTGTTGGATATGGGGTAACTCTGTAGTGGTCCCTTTCAAATTTGAAGAAAATGTTCCACCTCCTCTGAAATAGAGTTCGGCCAAGGATGTGCAGCCATCGCGTGTAAGCTGATGATATGATGTTTCCACCTCTTGAATCCGGTTTATTGGACTTCACTCTCTTTCCGTTAACCAATTTCAATAAAACTTGGCAACAAGATGTGATTCCACAAACTTTTGATGTCGGTTTTTTATAAATTGTTTGATTTCTTATTAAACAGTTATATCATGGTTCGGAATACAACAACTGCATCCAAGAATCCAGTTTCTCTATATCTTCTATATTATATATTCTATAGTTAAGTGGTAGTAGAGCTTCTTGAGATATAATTCGACTAATCTTACCTATTTCTGATGCCAAGTAGTGATGTGAGCATTATTGCGTTCCAGTTTTGAAGGGTGCTGGTGAAATTACAGGCACATGGGACTTGTCAACTTAAGTCTCAGAATGACGGGCGCAGTGGCAGTGCCCCAGATCTTTGCGATTTAAGGCTTCGAGTTGCACTGCAACTGTTATGGACAGGCGTTACCAACAGGTGCACGACTTGTTCGTCCCGTAATTTGGTATTATATAAAAAAAGCGCTACAGTTGGACGTCTGTAGCGCCTCGGTGGTACGGCAGCCGTGTAACGATTAATTTTCATACAATACCTAGTTTGTAAAAGTGATGCGGCTGCACCGCCACGATGGCGCCACGGCGCGCTTCTTTAAGCGTCTAATTTGTCAGCGCCCTAAAATGGGTTTGTAACAGTAATCGATAATGTAAATGGACAAGTAACGATTGGATCACACCAGTATATACTGATCTTTGATGTGGGCCATGTAGCGGAAGATTAGGTATAGATTCACAATACGACCGTTGACTTCAAATGTTATACTAGAATACCATTTCAGACTACCTTTTCATGTGTATTATTGTAAATATTTTGATCGAAAAATCATATTACGAAATTGAAGACTACGTGTTAGATAAAGATGTATGGAAAGACGACTTGGCTCCAGAATCCACACAAATTTGATTCAAAGTGTATTCCATAGCATTTAAGTTTATTTGAAAAGAGCAATCCCTAGAGTTTCTTGCTCGTTCTTCTCAGAGAGGTCAGCGTAGTGAACGAGTAGTAGCTTAAATGCGAAGTTTTCAAGTGTAAATTTATTTTACCTATGGAATAAATAACCTTTGACTTTGCAAAATAACACCATTGGTTTTGTTATGATTATTAATAATCATAACCATTTCATGTAGTTTTCATTTTAGAATTTAAGACACCATAAATTAATATAATTATCTAATGAAATATGTATTCACGCCCTTTTCCCATCGTATTCGGCAGATACAACAGCCTCCTATATTGTGAATTAGAAAAGAGAAAAACCTTGTGACTAAGTGAGTCGATTTCGGCAGTGTAGCTTATCCTACATCCACATGTGTTCTAACGGATCGAAGCTCATGGTCACCCTCTACGGGTAATAAGCTTTAATATAAATCTAATAATCAATAATAAATCTAATTTAAGTGCGTCACGTCTGCTTAGAAACTCGTAGAAAGTTTCATGCGTGTACAGAAACTTAATGGAAGGAAAATTTCTAGACGTTTTAGGCCATTTCTAAGGTGACTTTGTGTTTTCTAGTGTTTGCTGATTTATCTTTAAAGGCTTGTATTTGTAGAAACCAAGAATTGTTTGAGTTAATCTCGTCGGAATATTAATTATCTGTTGACTTAACTAGGGAAACACTGTGTCGCGGGTGCCATGGACACACACATATACAACCACAAATTACACCCAAACTCACGAAAGAAATAAATGTATGTCATGCAAATATTTCTATAATCTAACCTGGGACCTCTGCGTGGCAGTCCGGTCACAGAGGCAGTTTAATAATAAATAATTTATTTTTATTTATTTAATTCAGGCCGTAAGACCCATATAATAATATATACCTTAAGAACTAATATGCATGCAATGTAATAAGACACTATTCATATTAAATAATTAATCTACACGAATTGCACTTGTTGGCGACGTGTCGCAAACTGGTGTCAGGTAACTGCCCGCAGAGTCGCGGTATGTGACTCCCTTTGGCCAAAAGTCCTCCCTCATGAAGATTGACAGATGTTCGGTTATAATAAATAACAACAACAACTTTGTGTCAGACATCTACACCAATTGACTGGCCTCAAGACAGGCAATTGGTGTAGATGCCTGTATGGGTACTAAAGCAACGGACTTCACTACGGAGCACTTTCCAGAATACCAAAACCGGAATTTATTTAGAAAAGCCATTTACCAAATTGGTCCTACCAAAAATCGAACCCGGGACTTTCTCCGTTCAAACCGTTGGGCCACCTAGGTTGGCATTTCGCTTCAATATCTTTATTAAACGACGACTTTATACAAACGACGAAACGTTTAATACCCGACTAAAACTCCTTTTATTGGATAATGAAGTCTACAGCGTCGATGAGTTTCTTTTCAAACAATTGTAATTTTGTTTTACGTAACTTGTATTTAGGTAAGCAGTGGTAGTTATACTACTTTACTTTATATTATTGTTTGCGTTAGGGACGATAATATCATCCCTTGACATTGTACTGTTAATTGTAATATTGTGACATTGATAATATGAAACAAATGATCCTATTCTAGTTGATTCTATTTAGGTTAAAATAGTTAGCACGTGACCAACCTTCACCAAAATCGGAGATTGCTTACAAATTTCCCCAATGTCCTAAGATTTAGCGATACAAAATTACCAATTTACATTTACCGTCAAGTCTTTCAAAGAGCACTTGGCAAGCAATGCTTCTAGATTTTACAAACAAATTCATTTTGGTATGTCCAGCAAAAAAACAAATTTATATTTGCAGTTGAAATTGCCGCTTTCTGGCCGAGGCCGTCTTAGCCCGTTATACACAGACCTCCTCTTACAATAAGAAATATTTGGGCTGTACTTAATGTGGATTAGGAACTTCCCACACATCCTTAAATTGCTTTACAGATGTGTGCGGGTTTCCTCACAATGTTTTGTTGCGCTAAAAGCTCTTAGTAAATTTCAAACTAATTTGCTATTGGAGTGCTACTGCTGCTAGATTTAAACAGCTTGTCAAGGGAATTGTCGTATTTAAGGCAAATGGTAATGACGAAAATTGTACCCGATAGATCACAATCACAACCTGAGCAAATTCTAAAACCTGACACTAACGGCTTTTTTCTTTACTTTCAGATTCTTTAAGGCCAAGAAAGCTCTTCGGCGGGTACAGAATAACACCAACTTACTGCAAAGCGACTCGAACAGCAAAATTTAATAGAGGCAACACAATATGCATGTTTAACCACGAATGCTTCCAGCGAGGTGGAGAAGTTGTTGGCACATGTATGGACGGATTCTTATTCGGGGCCTGCTGTCAATTAAAATCCGATAGTCAATCTCATATACCTAAAGGCCCTGGAGTTGTTATGACCAGTTACTTAGACTACCCAGAAGAAACTGAAGGTCCAGACTACGATGCTGATCAATTAAATGCTTGGCATAACAGTTTCAAACCAATCGTCACACCTGGTTACAGACCTGGTGATAAAACAGGTGGTTCAATGTCATCTACTGAAAAGTCTGCTGAAAATTTGAGTACTGAAGGCATACAAGCTGAGATTATCAATGAAGGTTTCAATCAAATAAGTAACACTTTACTACAATCGCCTCCAAAGGAAGATAATTTCGTGTATATAAAACCCGTAAAACCTGATGCTATATATACTCACAGTACAATAGATCATAACGCAGCTGATACTATCCTAATGAACAAAAATGGATCCGTGGCAGATAATATAGCAAGACCTTCAGATTTTAATATACAAATCTCTTCAATGCAGACAAAACCTACAGCAGCACCAACAACATCAACCTCGAAACCTCCTAAAACTATTTCTACCCATCGACCTGTGTACACTAAGCCAGTATTCAAACCCAGACCTTCTAATAAGGTTACAATTAAGCAACCATCAACAGAAAGCTACGTAATGGTACCTACAGTAACAAAAGAAAGTCAGAAGGTTACAGAACTATCGTCTATAGATAGTATCATACAAATGCTAAACGAAAGTACTCCAAGTTTAAAGGACGACGTGACGCCAGATCCAGAAAGCGCGGAAACAAAATCTTCGCCAAGTCCTACTGTCACTATTGCCCCAGTATCATATAGTAGTGGATATCCAACCTATGCTAGTACTGGACATTACGTCACACTTAAGCCATCATCATATCCTAGTAGTACTTATTCACCAAGTACTGTGCAGATAAATAGTAAACCTGCAAGTGCTACCTATTCACCAAACATAGTGAAGATTACTAACAAACCTTCCTACTCAAGTAGTACCTATTCATCAAGCACGATTAAGATTACAAGTAAACCAATTACGACCAAGCCTTCCTACTCAAGCAGCATTTACACAAGTACAGTCAAATATCCAAATAAAAAACCCACATTTGCTTATACAACCCCAAACACTGTTCATCAGGAATTAAGACCAACAAAGAAACCTTATACTACTCAAAAACCATATTCTACTCCAAAACCTAGTCAATCTACTAGTCAAGCAATTGATGCCTTTAACAGATATCCCACAGATCCAAGTGACTTTGATAATTCTGTGACCACCTTTAGTTATATCAGTTCTACAACCACTAGAAGACCAGCTCCCACAACCACAACCAGGCGTCCCCCTTCTACCAGTTACGTGACAGGAGCGAAACCATCTCGTAGGCCGATAACGTCTGAATCCACACCAATACCAAGTTACGAAACAGCACCTGACAGTTTTTCAAGTGTAACTCCAACCGTTATAGTCTTAAACGGATTTACAGCAAAACCAGATTCTGCAGAAGACAAAGAACCACAATTTGTTGAAATATCTCAGGAACCATTCAAAAAACCTATTAGTCAAATCACTGTCAACAATCATATAGCTTCAACAAATAATATCTACATGGGGAAACCTCCTCCACCCTACGATAGACCATCTTCACCGACTGTAGTTATTACTCCAAAACCTTCTCCTACAACGCCATATCCTATAAAAGGAGCCACAAAACCTATAACAGGAACAACAAGGCCAATTTCCGTAACGACATACCCAAATTTCGATTCATATACAGATATGTATTCATCAACAACGTTTAGACCGGAGTTACAAACGTCACCTGATGATTTAATAAACTTTCCACCTGTAAGAAATCCTTTGCTAAACGCCACAGGTTCCAACCCTGGAGCATTTAATACCAGCGTATCAATTTCGGAAATAAATGAAATAGATCTGCTACACGATGTAGAATTTACGACACCGATATGGAAGGAAGACGACAAACTAAACGAACAAATGAATCTATTTGTTAACAAAATCGTTGGAAGTTTACAAGGTACTTTCCAGGAACTCCACGATATAGTAATATTAGATAAGAAACCAAACACAACTATTATAAAGGACACAAAAACGACTACACAGAAGCCTAAAAAGACTATTGCAACCACTAGGAAACCCACAACAAGAAAACCAGTTAGATTCACTACGACTACCAGACGACCGCCAATTAGAACCACGAAAAGACCAATAAAACAAACAACTGCTGCTAGAAGACCAACAACTACCAATCAACCTCCTACGACGACTGTGGCAACTAAAAAACCTGTAAGTTGAAATGTATTTTACAAAAAATATAAACGAGAAAATATCTCATTATATACAAGCAGTGTAAGAACCTAGGTATCATTAAAAATGTTACTATTTAATAAAAGACAGCCTATATCTCTGTTGGATATAAAATCTGTCCAATTCATTTCCGAAATAAAATAGTAGAAAATTATTTGATCATACTAAACAAAAAGATGTTTTGTATGGTTAAATAATGAAAAAAAAATTGAATTTGCAATAATAAAGATGATGATAGAAGACACAAAACCTTGCAAACGATCTAATACTTGAGCTTGTCGAAAATTAAATAAAAAGGAACCCATACGCCGCCCTGTAGACCACTGCTTTCAGGTGACTACAACTAAGAAACCCAAGCCTACCAAAAAAGTGACCACTACCACCATTCTACCGTCTACCGTCACTGAGCTAGCTGATGAGGTAACTACAACGTACGTGGACTCTGCCATTGACTACAATGACAAAAATTGTAAGTGTTGTAACGTTATTAATTAGGTAAAGATGTATACGCTCAATGTCCATTTACTGGAGTATTATTTCAATTACCTAGATTGTTTTAGAAACACAGGATTACAACTACAGTGTCATTTATTACAGTGAAATCTACAGTATTAGAGAACTGAAATATATTAAAAAAACTGTCTTGCTTATTATACATCGAGTATATAACCAGAAATAGTTACGAAATGTCATTTCATTTATTTGGAAACTATTCTGCCAAATCATTACTGCGCTCCGATTGGCCAGTCCGAATTCGAAGCACGGGTTTCGTCAATTGTTGTACTTCAAATCGACCAGTTTTACTTGAGCTTTGCTATAATAAACGATAATTGAAAAATTACATGTTTCATATTTAATTACCGATGAAATGTGATTCCGTTTGTTTTGTAATTAGATGTTTTGCTGTTTTTCCCACACCCCGAATGGAAACCCCCCATAGCTAGAGATATTATCTTTATTACAATAAATACAGAATATTTTTGGAATATACGGAGACGTACACACAGGTCAGTTCTCAGCTTTCTAATTTGTGATTTCAGTGTAGTTGATATTTAAAAATGATATAAGTCCCATTTTCCTGATGCGTTGCCAGGGATTGATGGCCCTTACTTCGTCTCTATTTCTGGTTACATACTCGATGTTGTTATACAACAATTGTATGACAGAAGAAATCATCTTCAGTGACTAGTTCTGTTTGACATGGAGCTTTAATATAAAGACGATCAGATAGCTAATTTCAAGGATTAAAATTTTTTCTGTTGTTTTTCACAGGTATAATCACTTATACCTGTGTTAAATTTTCAAATTAAAAATCCAAAGAAAGCCGATTATAGCCGATAGTACTTTCCTAACAGTTGATGTGCTATCATTTGTAGCCATATATTGTACTATAATTTGAGGTCGTGTCATTTACTATCACCAATGGTCGGAAACAGGCGTTCCACATATATATTTGGTGGTTTTTAACAACTCTATGACGCTGTCTACTCCTTGTAGCTGTGTTTATACATGTATCTATATATGTGGAACACCTTTTTCCAACCTATGGTTATCACATATCACATAAATGGTGTATCCAGCTGGGGGAAAAGCGTAAAAGTGTTTTAACTAAATCATTCCTTGTATTCTATTTCAGTATGCGGCGTCCGTCCTCTTGTTAAATCTGGGCGTATAGTAGGCGGTAAGAACGCTCAATTCGGAGAATGGCCGTGGCAGGTCCTAGTGAGGGAGTCAACATGGCTCGGCCTTTTCACCAAGAATAAGTGCGGTGGTGTGCTGATTACAAGCAGATTTGTTACTACTGCTGCGCATTGTCAACCTGGGTGAGAATTTTTTTTTATAATATCAAGCGACGGGACGAACAAGTCGTGTGTTTGATAATAAGCTACACGCCTGTCCATAACAGTTGCAGTCCCACGCGTGCCATATCTACGAACATTGTATTTAACTGCACGCATGCAGCATGAGTACAGCTCGCGTGCAATGCGCATGCAGCGCGCGCGCAGTGCCTTCATCAGATCTATACGCACACGCGAGCCTGAGTAACTTGTCCCGCAAATTATCATTATGAAATATGTTAACGGAAGAAGAATCAGACGGAGCCATCTTTTTTAAATCTCAAATCCTACATACCCCACAAATCTCGCAATTGACATTAATAAAAAAATGTTCATCGCGAGAGACAGAGCACTTGCGAGCTTGATACGTGTTGCAGTGTATAATACTCTATGTACGCAGCAATACGGTTCAATATTAAATAAACAAATATTTCAATCCCCGCCTCGCCCATCCTGGTCAATCCAGGCCATTTCCACCGAAGATGCGCCAGGAGCTAATTGAAATTTTGCCATACTTTCATTCATCGTCTAGCTTCGACTCATCTCGCCTCGCCGGTGGAAAAGCACCTTTATACTGTTCACACAGAATAATTTTTTTTTAATATAATTTTTGTTATTCAGTCAATAAAACAGAAGTCCATCAATAGAAGACACCAAACAGCAGTCGCAATTTAAACAAAGGCAATTAGAAAATGTCCTTACTGTTGAGACTCTTGCAAACATTTTCAACATTTGACGGCATGACTATGAAATTGTGAAAACCCAAAGTGCGTTCGTCGCCACTACGGTGATTCGTATGAAAGGCGGCCGACTTGGAAATTTATGAAATAGAAAAACAACAATAGATGTGCATTTCGCCAAAATTTTTCTATTTTCAATTTGTAATTTACTTTTCAATTGCACTTTTTCAGGTTCCTGGCTTCCTTGGTAGCAGTGTTCGGTGAAAACGATATCTCCGGTGACCTTGAACCACGCAAACCAGTATCGAAGAATGTGCGAAGAGTAATTGTACACAGACAATACGACGCTGCCACATTTGAGAATGATTTGGCATTGTTAGAACTAGATTCACCTGTGAAATTTGACGCTCATATTGGTGAGAACTTTCTCTTTTTAACCTTAAAGTAACTTGAAACATAAGACTGCTCTTTGGGAAACTCAAAATTATTTAAAAACGTAATAACAAACGACTCTGTCCCTTTTTTATTCAAACATAATGTTACAATACCCATAACATAAAACAAAAAGTTCTTATGATTTATAAATAAATAAATAACCCTGTAAGAAACCCTGTATCGCGGGTGCCATGGACATCACAAATTACACCCAAACTCAAATACAAATATTTCTCCCTGCCCGGGAATCGCACCCGTTATCTCTACGTGGCAGACCAGCATGGTAACCGCACGGCCACAGACGCAGTGAATTTGAACTTTAAGACATACATTTTAACCTTGTTGATGTGTAAATATATTTTTTCGAATATTATTGTAACTTAGATTCACTACATTGATTCTGAAACAATCTTAAAAATATACAAAGAATGCGCTTAACAAACTCACTACTATTGTACATTTTAGATAGAAGCGTAAATTATAATGAGTAAAATATAAAACTGGCATAAGGATGACTCCCTGATGAACCTCATTATAAATTCTAAGCTATTAATAACAATTAAAATCTGAATAAATAAATAAAAATCATAAAATTAAAAATAACTTCAAAACTGTATTTTGAATCCGGAAAATAACTAAAAAATGCTGTGATTGTCATTGTCAAACCGATCACCAAATTCCTCCTTACATTTGCAGTGCCAATTTGCATGCCACCCGACGAGGCGGACTTCACAGGTCGCGTGGCCACGGTCACTGGATGGGGACGATTGAAATACGGTGGTGGAGTACCAGCAGTATTACAGGAAGTTCAGGTATGTACGACCCCCGACGCAAAAAGAGGGGAGTTATAAGTTTGAAGCCAATGTCTCTGTGTACCTCAAAACGTGTCTCTGGCATTGTAGCTTCTAAACGCTGCCTTGAATTTAGAGTAACGATAGTCTGGATGGCATTATTTGATTATAAGCAAAATCTAAATAATTCTATTGTTGATATCAATTAGTTACTAATTAGTTACTAACACTTCACATATTGATTGTTGATTAAATTAATATCGAGTGTGAAATGAGATAGTTTCTGATCTACTTTCATTTTGTGTAATCGTATGTATTTTTTGTTTGTCATTTATTTGTTTTTGTTTATTTAAGTGTTTTATTTATTTATTACTATTATTTTGGATATCTGTTTTAGATTATATTTATTATTATTCTTCTTTTTTCATTTGTGTATGTGCAATATGTGTTTTGAATACGTATCATGTTGCGCCCTCAATTAATTACTATCTCACAGTTTTTCATGTAACCGGAAGGTTGTCTGGAAGAGATTGCTGTATAGTAATAAGGCCGCCTGTAGTACCTGTCTTTTTATTTTTTGTATTTGTCCCAGTGTGCCATAAAGAATATTTGTATGAACAAAATTTCGCTTGGTTTTAGGTTCCTGTAATAGAGAACAGCGCATGCCAGGAGATGTTCCAGACTGCTGGTCATTCCAAGAAAATTCTCAACTCATTCATATGTGCGGGTTATGCGAACGGACAGAAAGATTCTTGTGAAGTAAGTTAATTTTCCATCATCAACATCAAAATTTAGAGAATATGATCGCACTGCTATTTCAACAGTGTTGTAACTCAAAATACGTGATATTCAAGATTATACCATTGCTGAACATAAAATTTTATTCTCTATACGCCAATAAAACCGTCGTTAGAATATTGTAAGAAACAGTTAAAAGATATCTAGTTAACTCAAAAAGAAACAAACTTTATGCTAGCTAGTTCTGGACAAAACAAACCTTACCCAAAAATATGAAATTATTTTTTCCATTTTTATTTATATTAAATTTAGATGCCTATGATAAACTTTAACCTATATATAAATTTTAGTAATCTTTTACGGCAAATGAGTGATTCGTTTTTCATCAATTCTGGAAAAATACACTTTTTGAGTAAATACACTATTGTATTAATAGTGGGATAATAAGTTGAAACATTTTTTCTTCAGACCTAACTTGCGTATATTCGTTTTCCCAAACCCAAACAAACCCATCTTTTCGGGCCTTTGCATGACCATATGGTCACGACTGACAGAGAAAACAAATTTACGCTATTTAGAAACCTGAAAAAGCAATTTAATTTCGAAGATACAGTATGTCTTCAATTACAACAGCATATTTCTCCTCAGTACGTGGCCTGTCAGAGCACAATCAGAGCGTTTGCGCAATACGTCCCATTCGCATCTGTTCCGAATCTAAGTAATGACGATCAGAAATGTCACAGGGACCATTTAATCTCTTGGAGTACAAGTGATAGTCGTATTTTCGTATCGTATTAATAAATGACCAATTTATTGTCATTAATTGAACTTATATGTAATTGAGTGATTTGTATATTTTATTTGATAGATGATTTAATGAATTATTATTGAGATTACAATTGGACGTAGTTAAACAAAAAGGATCCAATGCACATCCAGTCACTTTCGAGATATGGCAGTTTGAAGTTTAAAAATGTTTATCGCTCTTGTTCTATTTTCAAAACTTATAATGTCATGTAACTCCAGAGATACTTATTTATGTTATTATTTGATAATTTTGTGGATTGGATCCTACGTCCAATTAATGTATTAATTAATTGACTATTATTGTCTCAATTTTATAGTTTTGTGATTTGTGAATTGATTGATGACAATAAAGTATGAGTATTGATTGTGAACCATCCTGCTTTCAGGGCGACAGTGGAGGTCCTCTAGTCCTCCAAAGAGATGACGGCCACTGGCAGCTTGTAGGTACAGTCTCGCACGGCATTAAATGTGCAGCACCATTCCTTCCAGGAGTCTACATGAGAACTACGTACTATAAACCTTGGTTGAAGAGCATTACCGGAGTACATTGATTTAGGCCTTCGGGGTCAAAAAACGACGATGCAATACGTCCCCGTCGCATTTCAAATTGGGAAAAAGCTGCCAGGGCATTTTTGTAGTCAATTTTATACTCTGATAATAACTATTTGTTATGAAAGGGTGCAAAGTTGTTATTTGACGCGAGCGCTTGTATTGACTTTGCTGTCGAGTGGAACACACAACTTTTCACCTCACTATAGCGAGGAAAATGGTAGATAAAAGAAAAACTTATAACAAATCAGTTTTAATGAACAAATTAATTATCGTTGTCAATGTAAGGTCAACAGTAATAAGAATAAAATATGCCGACGGATTTATATTACATAAATAATGTACGACAAGTCGCGTAGAAAACGTTTCATATTTTTTTTTTATCGAAAGAAATAGTTAGGTGAACCACAGTCAATTGTTGCGTTCGAATGTCAAAAACCTTTTCCACGTTAGCGTGGAAAAAACGCTTTTGCGCGCGAATTTCTAATGAGAAAGAAAACCTTTCCGAGCTAATGAGGTGAAAAGGTAATTTTTTCTTAAATAGAAAACCACCGTGAGACTCAGAGATAAAATATAACTGAAATAACGGATAACTCATGTTATCATCATGCTTAATCATGTGACCAAGGATCACGGACTGGTTTGAAAGATGTCGTGAAAAAATTCGACAAAAATAAAGCTCTAAATACTTTCCTATGATAGCAAATCTTGTAAAAAGTTCAATTAAGTGATTAAATAAATCACTCTGAATTTATTTAAATTACCACTTACGTTGCGTGCACTTTAGAAAAAGCACAAAACATCAAAACGTTAACTCTTATTTGCCATTTTACTCGTCTTTATTTTAATTAAAAAGTAACTTATAACAATTTCCATTTTATATTTAAAATAAAATATTGAGATCCCACCCTTTAATTAATTATATAAATTGATTTAAACAATTTTTTATCTAAAACCTATACATTCCACAAACAAAAGACCTCGCGAAATAAATAAAGAAAAATATCTTTTAATAAAGAAAATGAAAACCTGTATGATAAAAGAGAATTAGAACAAGAAAAGCTCTCTAATTATTAAAACGAGCTTGTGAAACAAATTACGATTTGTTTTATTTCAATAGGTAATTTCAAAAATTATCATTTTATAATTGTTGAATTTAACTTTTAAAATGTAATATACGAAATGTATTATTGTAAATTGATTGCATTTATATTTATTTTTTTAATAAATAAGTAGTTTTATGTTAGTTTAAATTAATTAAATATATTTAAAAGAAAAAGTAATTACATATGTTGTTGAATTGTGCAAATTGAGCATTTTACACTTTTAGAGAGTGACACAAACAAGTCACAAGTGTAAAAACACTTATTTTGATATTTACTATATTTTAAAATTTAGAAAAAACCGCTCAATCTTTTACTATTATTATAAAAAAGTAGAAAATGTTATAATGTATTATAAGAAATAAATTAAATGACTGTTACGCATTTATTAAAAAGTTTTAAGTAATTATTGTCTTTTATTTCGAACTTGTTACATTTTATTGTGCATTGTATCGCTTTGCCATCGAGTATATAACCAGAAATAGAGACGAAATGTCATTTAATTTGTTTGAAAACCATTCTGCCATATCATTACTGTCACAACTGCGCTCCGATTGGCTAGCCCGAGTTCGAAACAATTGACGGGTGTCGTCAACTGTTTCGCTTCAAATCGACCAGTTAACTTGAGCTTTGCTATAATGGACGACAATTGCAAAATTACATATTTAATATTTAATTATTGATGAAATGTCATTCCGTTTGTTTTGTAATTAGATGTTTTGCTGTTTTTCCCATACCACCGAATAGAACAGAACAGCATTGTTAGAGATATTATCTTTATTACAATAAATACAGAATATTTTTTGGAATATACGGAGACGTACACACATGTCAGTAGTTGGCATAGACAGCTATATTTCAGTGCAAACGAGAGTTGATATTTATAAGGGCTGTATCGCTAATGTGTTACAAGGAATATGTGGCCCTTATTTCGTCTCTACTTCTGGTTATATACTCGATGCGCTTTGCAAACAGGCGGGAGTTGTCATTCAAGTATTGTACAAGTATATTGAATATCGCATTATTTGATCACCACGATATTCAATTATTTTTAGTGAAAATTACACCACTATTTTGTTATAAGAAAAATTCCTTTTATTTGGCTGGATTCGAACCAGCGCCTTCAGCATACCGTGCCTGTGCTGATGATCTTCCAACTGAGCTACGAAATTAACTAACACTCTTTAAAGGACTATCCACACACATCACCGTGCCCGGGTAGTAGACGGGCCTGAACGAGTTCATACAAAATATGCGCAGCGATATTATTAGAGCCTCTGACTGTTCACGTCACGGGCACGGGCGTGATGTGTGTGGTTAGTCCTTAAGGCGGCTTTTTACGGCCCGTTTTTTTACGGGCCACGTCACAAAAGGTCGCGCCAACGAGAGCGAGTGCGCACGCGCTCGCCCGTGATTGCCTGGGAAAGAAAATAAAAGGAGAAAAAGCTAACGACAGGATTATTATATTATTATATGAGAAGAGCGACGGCCGTCCGAAGACAGCAAGAAGCCCTTTTGGAAATAAAGGTGAGGCGTGTCGCTTTCTTCTCTCCCGCTTCAATACAGTCCACGTCACCGCCGTCAGGCCCTACAGAGATAACCTTCGTTTCTAGAATCTCCATACTCCAGAGCTCACTTCGTGTTTTTCCGGTGGTTTTTTCCGCAAGCTTCCGCGCTACCATTCTCATTTACTCTAGTTCTCCGTTCGAAATAATTACTAAGCTTCATTCGCGTCATGCATCTTTTAATTTGGTCGTCGAGTACTATTTATTTGACGGTAATTATTTTGGAAGGATATTGAACGAGACAGAGTAGTAGAACCAGTACAGGGCCTGTTTTTGGATCCGCCGTGTGGCACATGACACACACCCGAATGTGCCACCACACGCGCTGGCCCGAGGCCGGCCGGACTCGCCCGTGACGCGAGCTCGCCCGTTTTATCTTTGAAAAACGGCCCGTGACAAGCCACGTTTATAACTTCCCATTTCAAATTCACTCCCTTCATGTAATATATTTAGGAGCCATTCAATAAAAATTCATACCAAATAAAACAATTAATTAACATGCTTCGATAAATACTTTATTATTTTATGAATCATTTAAAATTACACTAAAATATATTTTTGCTTTTTTTTTTACTTAAATATCTACGTTAGTTTGTGTCTACAGTATTTTGTTCAACATCAATACGACTTGAAACACAAAAAAGGGAACAATACAACATTAAAAATTATAACTTTTTACAACAAAAATGTTTATAAACCATCAAATAGTAAAAATATAAAAATGAAAAGTAAGTAATAACAAACAATATATATAACGTACGCTAGGTATAATAAGGTCACATGTCATACGTCAAAAGTGTTTTATTACATCTTCATTAACCCATTTATACCCACTGCTGAGCACGGATCTCCTCTCAGGCGAGGGTTTACTCGTTTTCCACTTTTTCAAAACGTGCAGGTTGCATCATGTTTTCATTCACCGAAAAGCTAATGGTAAAATCGCAATTTGAAAGTATAAAAGTCACCAACTAATTTCGTTCGTAGAAACTTTAAACCTTTCTCCTGAAAAGTTGCCTTTTTGCAGACGTGACCTTATTACACAAAGGGTGCGAAATCAATAACTAAAATTAAAAAATACGTAAAATAAAAATATATTAAAATAAATTAAAATAAACGACAACAATAAAGTACATAAACGGTTAATATATTTTAATAAGGAATCTAATAGGCTGTTATACATTTTGAAATTTATATTAGAAATTTAACACTACAGTATAGCATAATTACCTAATAAAACGTATTATTCTGCGAAGCTTTAATGAGACAAAAATTATTTTTCCGTTTTAGTTGATAAGTGACCAACAACACTTTCCCAAATCTTATAACATATTTAGTAAATTAGAATATCTAAGGGTCACATCTCACTTATCAGCACCATTAATACCGGGTCCACACTAAACGTGCATCTCATATAATTTATAGCAGCAGTAGGAATGGGTAACATACCTTTTTCTGAATATCGTATCAAAACTATATATAAATATTCGAAATCGGATTTCGAAACTATATATATTCTGTAACTATATATTCATGGATACAGCCCGCGTGCGCGCTGCGTTGATACATTGCCGTTGCTGATATTCGGAGTCAGATTTCGTAACTATATATTATTATTGGATATAGTTTTACAAGAGCAATGCGAGCCAATGTCAGTATACAGTTTCGAAAACGCACAAATAATGGTTTCGCGTTGATATCCACTCAGTTAATATTTGATACGAAGCAATATAAGTATATATAGTTTGGAAAATACATGATTTCGTGTTGTTATCATTCGTCAATTGATTCGGCAAATATCTATATATATAGTTTCGTTATAGGTGATAAGTAACACGCCTGTCCATAACAGTTACTGTGCCACTCATAGCTTTAAATTGCAAAGATCTGAGGGCACTACCACTGCGCCCGTCGCCCAGAGACATAAGTTGACAAGTCCCATGCGCCTGTAATTTCACCAGCACCCTTACCCTTCGAAAGCGTAACACAGTAATGCTGACATTACTGCTTGACGGCTGAAATAGCTATGTTGGCTGTACTACACTGGACGAATTCTTTTAGAAGGAGCTCTACTGCTACTAAATGCAAGCTACACATATTTTAGAAGCGCGCGTATGTAGCGCAGCAGCCGCGTCACTATTAATTTTCATACAATATCTGAAAGCGAATTTGCGGCGCCACTTTTCCAGTAACAATTTAGTAAGACGTAACACGCCTAATAATAATAATAATAAAGTTGGACACAATGAAACTATAATAATTTTGTACATGTCAACTTCTATAGGTACAACCTGTGTTTTCACAGATAAATTAATTGTGAATTATGTACGGTGCCGGTAGAAGCTTCAGCATTTACAAAAATATACACGATTAGTATTGACGCGGTGCCGATGTGTGCTTATGTGTCATGACAAGTGGAGGCCAATCCAAAAAGACAACAATTTTCATAGTTCATTCAAATTTAAATCAACTGTGTTTTTCATTTCTATTAAAATACATACAATTTCTTATGTACAAATTATTGATAGGGCACAGCAGTATGTATTCTAATTGTTTACTTATATAACGCATATATTATTATTTCTTTTACTAAAATCAATAATCACTAACTACGTTTATTTATTACTATAACATTATTTTGAATTACGTACAGATCAAACTTTTTAAATTCTAATTTTTGTATATGTACACATGGACATATTTAGCGGAACGCTAAATAAAGGTTGAATTACGATAACAACTTTTTTATGAACGGCCACATAATATATCAGAATGTTCAATCGAAAATAAAGACGATCAAAGTCATTCTTTTTTTTAAATAAACGTTCTGCCCTCAAAGTATATAGCCTCGATAAAGTTATTATATCCACATTTAGCTGTCTATTTCGACCGGCTTTTAAATATTAAAATTTTATCACAATGGCTAAAATGGCGTGCACCGTGACGTCACTGACGCCAATGACTGCAACAGTGTCAAACATGGCTGCAGGGTCACAGCTGATTTTAAAATATTTGCAAAGTAATTTTATCAACATGAAAAGACATTTTTTTGTTTTATGGTTTTCGCGGCGATGATTAGACGACAAACGTAGCTATATTTGCAATTTTATATCATTGCCCTTGTTCTTCAAAATGTACAATAATAGTTCATTACCAAATAAGCAAACTTAGATTTTATATTGTCACGGGGAGGTTTATCACACATATTCTGCCATGCTACTATCACGGGTATACATATCACACTGCTAACATAGTAGGTATTAACTCAAAAAGTTAATTTATTCAGAATAGCTAAAAAACTAATTACTCAGTTTCCGTGAAAGATTATTATAAATTATGTACAGGTTAAAATTTATTAGATATCTAAACAACTCCTACTTGCCAATTAGAAGTATATTTGAAAATAAAAGTAAAAAATAATTTCATAATTTTAAGTAAGGACTCTTTTATTCAGGACTAGCTCACAAAACGTTTGTCTCATTCTGGGTTAAGTAGATATATTTTCATGGTTTCTCACAATATTTTAATGACAATTTTATTGACATGTAGAGAAACAAATTTTATGTTCAGAAATAGTATAATCTTGAATACCACGTATTTGGCGTAACAACACTATTGTAATAGCAGTGCGATATACTGGTTCATATGAACATATACCAGATACCAGAACATTTAAACGAAATCAAAGGACGATTGAAGACTTTCTTTTTTCAAATGAAACGTTCTGGTAATATGTCAACGCATTCAAGATGTGGTGCTACCGCCGCATACTTCATATCAGCTGGATGCAGAAAGTCAAGGAAGAAACAGTACTTAGCGGAAGATCAAGAATCACAAAATCACATATCTCGGCCCCGTGCTTCGGCATCTATCGTGTCGATGAAAAAAAGGAAACGGTAGGTCTTCGCTCGACTGTTGGTGGTACACATAGAAAGTGGAACCACCAACAATCGCGCGCAGAGCATTTTACCTTATGTAAGAGGTGCTACAGACAAGATCGGAATCAAAACCTATTTCAAGCCGCTGAGGAAGATTTCTCAGTTCCCGAGACCCGTGAAATGTAACATCACCTTACAGGATGCAGGACTTTACAAGCTTGACTGTGAGTGCAGTCTCTCTTATATTGGACAAACGAAGCGAAGTATTTGTACCCGCGTCAACGAACATATAGCTGATGTCAACACGGTCGCGTAAACAAGTCTGCAGTCTGCGAGCATGTCATGGATAAACGTACACATTCAATGAAGTTTGACAAACCCCAGGTCCTTGCAAAAGAAGTCCGTTATCTACCCAGGATGCTGCGATAGGCCATTGAAATTAAAAAACGTCCTAATTTCAACATCCTAATTTCAACAACAAGAAGATGGTTTCTCCGTACCACCAATTTGGGTTCCAGTTGAAAAATCCCAAACAGTCATAAAACTGCAGTACTAATTAATAATATGTTTTAATTTATTTATTTATATTAATTAACAAATTCATATTGTTAAAATAAAATAATTTATAAAACATAATGCAGCATAAATTGGAATGTTTCTTTGTAAAATTTAAAACAAGGTATTTAATTAACAACGTTTGTAACCATAGTGAAAAAATAGGGTGGTTTTGCATTAATATTAGACATAACTGGTTGATGACTGTACCACCTCAGTCAACCGTGACCATGTGACCTGTAAAGGGCCCGGAACGTCGGTTTGTTTGAAAAAACAAATACTTATACGCGATTTAAATCCGGAAAAATAGTTTCATTTCCTATAGTTATCACAATTCAACCTTTGTTTAACATGCATTTAAGCACGTCCATGAGTGTATACAAATAATATTGTGCATCAAAACTTTATGCACAAGTTTTCAGAAAAGGTATTTTATACATATATAGCTAAGTTTAAATTCAAACAATATTATATACAATTTGCAAATCATTTCAAGCGGACTATTCATCACGTAGCTATTTACTATATTAGAATAAGTTAAGTATCTATTTTTATAATCCATCACCAATTAAGTTTATAATGCACTAGGTATATTAAAGTAGATAAGTCAAAAGTGCTTCAGCCCATAATTTTGGGTAGACATGGGTTATAACCCGGCCGGCAATTTGGGTAAAAACCCAGTTAACTGCCCTGCCCATCTCTGTTTGTAACATTAAGTTTACTAAACATCACGATGTTATACTGTCATGATATTCAATTATTTTTTGTGAAATTACTCCACTCTTACAATTATTGTTAATGCAAAGTTCGAACATGAGACGAAAGTAGCGCCGTCTGTGAGAAATCTATGAGAGTTTTTTCAATTGTTAAATTTTAATTCTAGTGGCTACTTTTTCAGCATTCATATATTCGATCTTCATCATGTATTCTATAATTATTAACATAAAGATCGTACACAAGGAAAAATTCCTTCAATCTGTAATGCTAATCTAGGACAACCTCTCTCCAACTGACCTACGGATCGAGTCGGAAGACTTCCATATTTGATACTGAATTTGATTCATCGATCGCTGCCGGATCTGTATTTCAATATGTCTATCTCGGCTCTAGCGCCCTTAAAAAAAAGGATCTGTAGTAAACGTACTCCCCCTATGACGTTTAGTTCCACGCAATCAGAGTAAAAGTTCATTACATAAATCAGTGAATAAAATGATGGTTACGTTTCTAAGATTAATTTATTTATACACGTGATTGCTTTTGTCATAAATATAAATTAATTGCAAACTTTCAAGTATAAAATATTTAAACCGTCATTCAGTGTTTCGAGGAACAGAACGGAATGTCAATTGTCAAACGAGCGGGACGGCCATATAGGATGGAAAAAATAAAGGGACGACGCGCGGCGGCGGCGACATGGTAGTGTCAATTTATGTTTTGTTGATGTTTGTTCGTACTCGTGACGTGATAAATAATCTAAATTATAAAAATACCATTTTGATTTGACTTTCATAAACGACATTGTTACATTTAAAACAAATTCAACTGAAGTTTTGTTCAGCCTAAAATTTGAATGTAAATTCAGCGTCAGTTAAACTTGTCACGAAGTTTACACGCCTAAACGTTCTTGAGGACACAAGTTGCTCTTAGTCACAGTCTTTGTTATCCCAGTCCGATAACTGAGCAAATTGTTCAAGATCACATTCGCTATCAGTTAAAAATAACTTCCATTTTCACACGATTACATGGTACAATCGGTCAAAATTGGAGGATCGCTACCATAGATCGAACACGTTCAAAATTCGATTTGTCAAACCATTGATCTATGTTAAACCTATGAATCGGATATTGAAAGCGCACAACTGTCACTGCCATACAAATGTCAAGCAAAAAGCCCTCCCACAGATGGATTGAAACAAAATATCGGAATAACGATCCATCGATCGGTTATTGAAATAGTAAAAATAGGATTTGGATTGGTTCAAGCTCAGATAGTAAATTATGGATTGAGATTAAATATAGAAAGCGGTCGTAAGTGCTTGTTACGGATCTTTTGTATAGCGTTTTTTCAGCTTTTACGGTAGGCGACATCTGTGAGAGATCTATGAAGCTTCTCACTCAACCTTTGCAGTCACCAGAGAGAGACGTGAGATGTCGCTGTATTAATTGTAATAATGATTTCTATTTAATGTTTTACTACTATATTACCAATATTGTAACTTTTTTTATACATAAATTAGGACATGTTGTACAGTCTAGAGCACATTAAGCCTGACACACTGAAGTTTAGACTTTTCTTATTGAAAGTGGCGTAAAATCTTAAAGGTCGATATTACCTCAGCGCTAATTCAATTTTATCCCGTACTAATACGGTTCATTTCACTTGGGTCGGCAAGGACACTGGTTTTATTTCAGAATTTTTTTCTTTTTTCATACGAAATTTTTGAAAAATGTATATCGTGTAACGTACGTGTTCTATTTAGTTCAGTTGATACACAATTATATGGACGTCGGGTCCGCGCTAAAAAGTGTCCGAAATTATAGGGCGTTAAAATCGTATACAGAGCGTCATTCACGCTTTAGTCTTCGTTTGTTCGACTGACAGCGAAGCAAGTAAAATTAGACAGTACTGCGATGACATTACAATTTAAATTCAACGTTTTAGCTTTTTCATATTCCTTTACATGTCACTACGTTTAAATAGGTTGACTTGGGACATTTTTTTCATGGTTTTTGTATTAGACCCGTCGTCCATTTATTTGTAAGTCAATGAGTTGATATTAAAAAAATATCATTGGTATATGTAAAGTACCTATTGAAGTCTGCGGTTTTCTTGCAAAATTTTGAGGTAAGTTTGTGTTTTTTTTCTATCATGAATTTTTTTAGAAATCGTGTTTTTACTCACTCAATTTTACTATATAATTTTTCCATAGTGAGTGATACACAACTCACTTCACTCACTTCACACTTTCACTGTTATGCGGAGTCAACCAAAGCCATTTGAGGTTGTACTCGTATAGACTCTTAAGTGTTATACTTGCTCTTGTCTGTACCAAATAGTATTGGTAATATTCTTATTTTTTATCAAAATAAGTTAAAAATTTTAATAAGTATTTAAGCCATTATTAATATATTCTAAATGCCAATTTTTTTTAAATTTTACCTATACACTACAGTTCCAATATGTTATTGCCAAGACACACATTTCAGATATCCCATCGTACTAAGTCTGACCGTATAAGCTAGAGCGCGCCTTAAGTGGAAGCGCGGCGAGGGGTGAAAGCAATGTCGCTCAAGGACAAACAAGACTCAGAAAGAAGCGGCTACTAAATGAGTAATATTCTTTTCCATCACACTTACCCGTAAGTAGTACCTAGTATGACGAGCAATAAAAGTAAGTGGTATTGTTATCATACATCCCCATGGCGGTAGTGGGTTTTTGTTTTATTACTACTCTGCCGCCCGCTCAGAGCACAGTATTACAATATCTTCTCCACAATAGCGCAACGCCTTTGACTTGCGCTGTCGAATGCAGATATGCAAGGGGTGTCACAAAATGAAAAAAAAATGTTATTATTACCATAAAATATTCATTTATTAACAATAATAGTTATTTAATAAAGATTTACAAGTATTTCACTGCAAGATATTTACGTGATACTTTATTTTTAGATGTTTTATTTTTATCTGATGAATAACGAATGTACAATTGAATCATTTCTATGAATGGGCGAAACATGAGCATGGTCCTGATTTAGTTCTACTTTACTTTTAAAACACGCACATGCCAACCCTCAGCGTTCCATCCGGCAAAGTAGGCGTGTTTGCAGGATGTAAAATTGTGCTGAGAGCGCGGAAGCTTCGGAGTAGACCTCGAAATTTTCGCCGCGGCTTCAAAATACCATGACTATTTAGTTCAATTTATTAATACTAATATAAATACCGTCGGTTTATTTCATTTATAATTTTTAGAAGATGCTTATAAACACAAACATATAGTAAAACATGTTACTTGTTATTCATAGGTAAAGGTAAAAGAAAATGTTTTAGTGGGTAATAAATTTTTATTCTTTAAATAAGATTTATTTGTGAGATACTTCAAAATTTGTAAATATTACATTAATGAACTAACAACGTTATTAAGTCTACGTTTCCTTTTTTCTTCAACTTCCAAGCAAGTGTGATTAAAATCATTGTATGCCACTAGTAATTACAAACATTCGGGGCATCAAAGCCTTTTATAATGCCAGTAGTAAACTTGTGAAGGAATTCGTCCAGGGAAGTACTGCCATCTTACTTATTTCTGCCGCCAAACAGTAATATGAGCATTTCTGCGTTCCGTCTTTGAAACGAAAGGGTACTGGTGAAATAACAGGCAACTGGGACTTGTCAACTTCATATCTCAGGGTGACGGGCACAGTGGCAGTACCTCTCAGGTGTTTGCAAGTGTAACTGTTACGGGTAGGCGTGTCGCTTACCACCGGAAGCACGACTTGTTCGTCCCATAAATTGGCGTCATAAAAAAACTACTGAAACCTATATATATTATTTTCAAACAATCTTGGGGTGTGAGCATACAATAATTGTGCTCTAACGTATTATGAACCCTCGCAGTGGCACAGCTAAGGCGCAAGTTAACTTACACGGTCACACAGTAATACATTTACTTTGAAATCTTACCTTTGTAATGCAAGCACTTTTTACAGATCGCATCAGCCCTGTCTTTAATAGCTTGAGTCGAGATCCCCCTATCAGATTCCGGTTTCGAATCTTCTGATTCAAAAGGAGCTTCGCTAAACTGCTGGATTAACTTCTTAATATAGCTACCAGGCCCTCTAATGGTTAATTTAGCATTGCTTTCGTCTGTAGCAGCAACCTTTTCCTCGTTCTGGCGATAATCGCTTAACATTTGCAGCCCATCTTGAAAATTTTCAAAAGCTTCTGTAATTTTATCGCCAATGTTTAGCTTCTCTTCAATGTTACTGAAATTTACCTTTTTTTCAATATCGGCAGAAATAGTTTTCGAAGTTGTTGGTGTTATTGTAATTTCGTTACTTTTCATGTCAATTGTAATCTTGGCATCGTCTAGTTTCAAGCCAGTGAGCGAAACGTCAACTGATTTCGAGCGATATTGCCTAGATGGCGCTGGTGGTACTTGTAATTGATTGGAGTCGAAGTTGTCTTGCTTTATGGTGCTGGTGGATGTTACTGGTGATGAGGTGAGAGATGAACGTTCGCCTGGACTGGATCCTAAAGTTTAATTGACTTTGTAAAAAAAAAAGAATGGTGTTTGACATTTCTTTTGATGAAGATTCGTACAGTGTTGGCAATTTGTCTGAACGTGCATACTCCGAAATATAGTGAAAATAAAAAAAGATATACCGTAGTAAGAATCCAGAAATTATTAGTGATAACTATTTAATGTTGGTATGAATATATGTGTTAAACTAACTGAATACCACTTTGTTTTACGTTCTTTAATAATTGAAAGGTCAATAAACTTGTAAAAATATTTCTAAAGTTCAAGTTATTTATCAAGAAAATTATCATAACGACTTCTTGAATTGACTGTTATTAGTTCGGTGCTTATAATTTTAGTAATTTTTAAATAAATTGGTGATATTGTTATGAATGATTGTTAATGAATTAGTAGAGTGTTATAATGTCTATATTAAATTTTCCTACGTGTTAAACCCCGCCACCTAAAACTTTATGAATGTTTTACCTCATATTTAGGCGGATGTCTCCACACCGTCTGTATTTTGTCCTAAAACGTAATCAATCGATAATTAAATATTTTAATTAAAAATATTTACTAGATTGCACTTTCTTACAGTTGATAAAATCTTTGAGCATTTTTGTAGCATTTACGTAAATGTGAGATGGAAATCCATTGACGTGACGTTCAAGAAATGATGCCAACCCTACAAAAGTTTTTATCAATCACTATTAGCAGTAGAATTTCTTGTAAAAGAGTTTGTCCAGGGAAGTCCTGCCACCTTACCTATTTTTGCCGCCAAGTGGTAATGTGAGCATTACTGTATGTTGATGGGTAAGGGTGCTGGTGAAATTACTGGCACATATGGCTTGTCTCTATGTCTCGGGGTGGCGGGCACAGTAATAATTAACCGCTCACGCGATGCGCTCCTCCTACCGCAAAATGGCGGCTATTTGGTTTCGCAAATTAGAAAAGCATTCAGTTTAAATACAAGTTTTTATAAATAAAAATTATTATTCTGCATTGCTAAATAAATACCCTCCGTACTACCAACAAAAACATCTCAAATAAAATGCACCGCAAATCCTGCACTTATAAAGCACTAATGAAATTTTTGGTGTACTTGGATAAATATGATAATATTCCGTTTGAGTGGTTCTAACGTTTACCATGAAATTACTCCTTAAAGTATATAGGAATGAAACCTTAAAGTATAGTTTATAAACATTTATATTCAGTGTAAACTTAAAAAACGCTACTTACGGTATGTTTTCCATAAATAAACACCGAAATCACCAGCCCAAACAATAACACACACGATTGTCGTGACGTATTTTTGAAGTTGTTTATTTTTTTTAAATGACATACCCAGGCATTAGAAACTTTATGGTTTGCTAGAGTAGTTACCGAAATAGCAATTAATGTTAGTTCTTTTACCTGTTATAACTTCGATGTCCAATAAATCGGTATAAAATCATCACCGGCACCTCTAGGTGTGGTATGCGGCTACGGCTGCATGTATCGCGTGAGCGGTTAATGCCCTTCAAATCTTTGCGATTTAAAGCTCTAAGTGGCACTGCAATTATTATGAGTAGGCATGTCGCTCACCACCAGCGCACGATTTGTTCGCCCCGTCACTTAATGTCATGAAAAATATATACTTTAATATACCGTTTATCAACTTTGTTTGTAAATCAAAATAAAACAAGAAATTTAGGTGACAATGATTCAAATTTTTATTGTATTAAAAAAAAGTAAGGTTTGGCAATTATGAATGAAAAATGATATCTGATAAATGTCAACCACGACCACAGTTGCAGATGTCGATTCTTTCATCAAAGTTTTTAATCACTTTTTGACAAAACGGTGGGTCTATTTCGTTAATCACTTCACGAATTTTCAGTTTTAAGGCTGCAATCGATTCGATTGGCTCCTTAAAGACTCTGTCCTTAACATAACCCCATAAAACACATAACGGCTGAATTTCGTGAAATTATGCGATCGGGAAATATGGTTTGCATTAAATTCATTGTTTCGGTGACTGTCACAGATGATCAAAAACAAAGAACTGCAAGAAGCGCGTAGAAAAATTCATAAGGTCTACTGGTTTGTCCCGTGGCTTAATTGGCGGTGCATCCAGCCGGATCGAATGAATTTTCCAAGTGTTCCATCTTTGTTAAATCTAGTGGAGTCATTTAAAAGAAAAATAATTGAATATCATAGTAGTAAAACATTGTGACATTCGATAAACTTCTTCCTTTTTTAAAGACTTCAAAAAAAGGAGAAGGTTCTCAATTCGAATGTATGTTTTTTTTTGTATGTACGTTACGCGATAACTCCAGTATTTGTGAACCAATTTTCATGATTCTTTTTTTGTTGGAAATAGGGTACCTCCATAGTGGTCTATGTAAAGTATGTAATTCCACGTACTTTTGAGGTCGGTTTTATAGTACTCTGTACTGAGATTATTTAAATGTATAGATTGTCAAGAAGCCAAAACTCGAGAAACTGATTTTGTACTTCTCAATGGTTTACAAAACTCGAGTTTCTCCCTTTCTGTGTGAATTGAAATACATGTATATGTGTCCGGCGTGACCAATAGACTTGTCTGCCAAATTTAAATGTCTTAATTTTATCAGCATTTGCTGGAAAGATAAATAGTCTCAGACATTAAATACATTAGGCTGTAAAGAGCCTGAAACATTGGTTTGTTTGAAAAAATAAATATAAGAAAATAGTTTCATTTACAAATGAACCCTTTTTCTTGCACGAAAGGAGTCTCCCCGAAAGACGTATATAATTGAACGCAAATGCGTAATCATCGCGCAATCGCGCGTTAGGTTTCAGACATTATTTCCACGCGATGTGACCTATAATAATTTAAAACTTCAAATGTATGTTTATACAATTAGTCAAATAGCGAAATGTGAACGACACACCGATGTAAATTAATTTTCAAAGAGGACCGCATCTGTGTCCGCCATCTTTAATGTTTGACAACCAACTAAATGGTATGCAGCGTATTCACCGCACATCAGTGAAACACTGCGTGTGTAGCGCCGCATATAATACGCTAGCACATAGATATCGTTGGTTTGTTGTCATGGATTGTTAACAAAATATATAATTAAATGTTGGTTGTGTTTCTATTTACTCATAGAAAAAGTATTGTATGCAAATTTGTAGTCGTTTGTAAAAATTTGTTGTGAAAATGTTCATCCAGGGTAGTATTGCCACCTTACCTATTTTTGCCGTAATATCAGCATTACTGCGTTCCGTTTTTGAAGGGTGCTTGTGAAATTACAGGCACAGTAGGCTTGTCAACTTATGTCTCAGGGTGGCGGGCGCAGTGGCAGTGCCCCTCAGATCTTTGTGATTTAAAGCTCTGAGTGGCACTGCAACTGTTATGGATAGACGTGTAGCTTACCATCAGTCGCACGACTTATTCGTCACGTCACTTAATATTATTTTTAAAAATGCACTTATAAGGTCTTAAAATCTACTATCACTTAAGAACCCTTTAAGAACCCTCATTACCAAGAACCCTCATTACTCATCAAGAAGACTTTAAAAAAGGCAATTAGGACACATATTCGAGATCTGTATGTTTGATCGCAGGTTCGCACGAGCAAAACACGCGCAAGCTTGCGATGGTCGCGTAATCGCGTTCAATTAGGACGACGCCTCATTCCCTTCCTGTACGTCAGGCGCACCTAAGGTAACAATCGGCGAGTACGTTACGCCTCCGATTGGCAAATCATCATCAGAATGGCAAGCATTACAGTGTATGCTATCGATACAATCATCATCAAACTTAAAAGTTATACTCTTGTCAGTGGAGCATCTTCCAGTCATCTCTCTTATAAGCCAGTTCCTTGACCTCCTTGTCTATACCCTATAGTAATCAGGAGCATTCTTTTCTCGTTTACCATTCTCAATACTTCCTCATTAGTTTCCTTTTCTATCCAACTTATGCCCTTCATCCTCCTCCAGCACCACATCTCAAAAGTTTCTAATGTTGAAAAGTTCATTTCCAAAATTGGTCCTACAGGGATCACCGCATCCAGCGCCCATATGCAAACCGTTGGGCTATCTAGAGCGTCAAACTATCTATGTATTTTTTTATTATATCATGTGGCGGGACGAACAGAAGCTCGTGCGCCTGATGGTAAGTTACACTCCTGTCCATAACAGTTCAGTGCCACTCAGGGTCTTACATCGCAAAGATCTGAGGGGTACACCCACGGAAGTCCCATGTGCCTGTAATTTCATCACCACCCTTACCCTTCAAAATCGAAACAAAATAATGCTGACATTACTGCTTGGCGGCAGAAATAGGTAAGGTGGCAGTAATTTGGACAAACTCTTTCACAAGGAGCTCTAGCAAATGTATTTTTAGATGCGATATATATTTTTTTACATACATATTTTAGATTTTTAGAACTTCCCTAACTTTTAATACCAATTTCACAAACACTTAGAATCCCTTCATCGTTTTTTTTAAAATCCGGTTTATTGTGTCACGTCATAACCATCAAAGGATTTCCTCCTCACAAATACCTTCACCAAACCCTCACCATTAGAAGCATCTTCACGGTCATCCTCACTGCACTGTGGCAATGACTGCTCCACCATCAAACCCTGCACCATATCCATGCACGAGTCCAAAGAGAATTTCTTGCCCACCATTTTGATTCCCCGGATGCGACGGCGCATTTCTAGGTTAATTTTTGGATGCAATTACTCAGCAACCTGAGTTAGACTTTTCCTATAGTCGTCACAATATAAAATGCACCGTTTGACATTCTTCGTCGCAACGTAAATAGGGATGTGAACTAAATATACCGGTAACCGTATTAAACGGTTCTCACGAGAAATCGATTCGAAATTTTATGACCATTTATAATATTTTTCGGGTTCTAAGTTTTCAGTTCTAGAACAATTAACATTTTTTAAGCAATGTAGAGTTTAATATAAATAATAAGAATTTTTCAATAATTAAGTTGTTGTTATAGTGTAGTTACATTTATTAACAGAGTTCACGAGGACTACCAGTAGTTAAATAACAAAATTCTGAAGCAATAGAAAAAAAGACTTCATAGTTTAAATTTTTATTCACTTTCATCGGAAGATGAGCCAAAATCATCAGTTCTGCTAGTATCACCTGTATGCATATAATTATTTCAATCTTTCAATTTTTAATTTATTACTAATGTTAAATCTCTATCAAAATCAATATTAACATTGGTAATATGACTGAAAATGGTAATGGTAATTTCTCGGTGATATTCGGCGATTAATTGGTTACGGCACTATTATTTTAAAAAATTAGATTGAGAACGTAACTGTTTATAAGACGTTTCGGACTAACTCAAAACAGCATTTGATGTTGGGATACGTGCGAAAATAATACTTGGAATATATGTTTAAGCCCCATAAGCTAATAATTGTTTGTTTACTGTTTCGTTGATTGCATTCAAAGTTACATACTATTGTCTTCCTTGGCTGTCTAATTGGGCCTCTTACATTGTGACTACTATAGATCTATAAGCAGGAATTTGGTGTCAGTATTTATCCTTTCCAGTCACTTACCAGGGCTATCTTTCGGCTCCATCTTCAGCTGCGCAAAAGTCTGAGCGCAGGAGCTTAACACTTTCTCGTAGTCACAGATGGCCACATGGGTGCCGTTCACGATTTTGGGACTCATCGGGCTGTTGGCCAAGAGGAGACTTGTTCCAAATGTTGCGTTCAGTTCGCGTGTTTCTGGAATTTGTTTTAAAGTTCTTCTTAATAAAAAACCAAAGTCTTAGAAGAAAGTACAAAAGAAATTGTAGAATGAAAATATGGCGGTCTCTAAATCAATAAACACTGTTATTCATAACAAAGATCGAACACTTAGAAGAAATTCCTTGGATCCGGCTAATTCGAACCGATGTCTTCTAGCAAACCGTGGCAGGTGCTATGCCAACTAAGCCACGGAACAAACTAGCGGATCTTCCGAATTTTTCTATGTGCTCGTTGCAGATCTTGTGTTGTCTTGTGTATCGTGTTTTTTTCTGTGAGAAATTTCTTTTACTCAGAAAGGTAGGTACCTTTACAGCTACCGTCGCTGACTAGAGATGTCACCTTAATCATCATAATTTTCTCAATCTTAATCATTCAAAATTTCACAAAAAGAAATTTAATATCGTGGTAATAAAACATCGTGACATTAAAAAAAAAACCAAATACAAAGCAGAAAGAACAGACACATAGAAGAATTTCGTCGACCTCAACCTGTAGCTCAGTTAGCAGAGTGACGCTACGGGCAGCATGGTTCAAGTTCTGTCGGTTCGAAGGAATTTTCGTTTGTGTTCGATCTTTGTATTAATAATCATAACAAAACTAATGAAGGTATTTCATAAAAAAACCTCAGCAATAAATACATTACCTCTCAAAGAAATCCTGGGACGTTTCGGCACAGCAATGTTGCCATTCTCAGAGCCGAAGATATCAACCAGAATCTCTTTGGCTACTGTCTTTATCTCGTTCCAGTCATCTGAATCCAATACATATTTTGCAATATAGTTTTCGAATATGACTATAACACAATAAACTTAAAAACAGTAAATTCTCGTTAACTATCAATAGAACAGTTGATGTCGACCTAAAACAGTAGATTTACTGATAACTGGCACTCATAGAAAATTAAAACATAGTTATTCTACTATGGTTAAAGCGTCTGATATCGGGGAAGGCTAAAAACAGGGATGAGATGAACTTGCTGTAGAAAACATTGAACACCCACATAACAACAAAATACGATCATGAAAGAAACATACCCAAAATATCCTGATTAGTAGTCCTTTCAGAGGTAACCGTGAATCTGATGACGTAAATGCCTTTAAAGCAAGCAGGGACGGCATGCAAATTGCCGCGCCCATTGAGGCGTTTGAGCAGACGCTCAGTCAACGTATTGTCGCCCTTAAGTCGGAAAGCAACGAGACCTGGGAACATCGGTATTATTATATGAGAACAATAACAATATAAAGCCGAAATTATAACTGCCAACAATCAAATTTTACTAACAAATATCAATTGACAATTTATTTAAAAAAATTGTTTGAGTTCAATGAAGTAACAATAATTCAAAATTTAGAGTCAATAGTTTCAACGAGAATTATGTACACACAAAAAATAAACTAAATAAAAAAAATATTCTTTAAACTAACGTTTCAGGCTTTACAAATCCCACTGAACCGTGACCTTCAGACGTGTAAAGAGCCGTAAGCGCTATTTTAAATCAGGAAATAATAGTTTCATTTTTACCTACCCAAATTCCTCGGCTGAGGAATTTCAAATCTTGGATCAGCTAACACGAGAGCTTCAAATTTCTGAGCGAGACGTACGCTCTGAAAGAAAATATGTTTCAAAAGTTACAAGTTGAGATTATTTAATAATAATTTAATAACGTACACACTCATAGCCCCGCACTAGGGAAACCCTGTATAGCGGGTGCCATGGATGCAACATAGACAACCACGAATGACACCCAAACTCACGAGAGAAATAAATGTAGGCCATTATTTGTCCCAGCTAGGGAATCGAACCTGAGACGTTCGCATCGCAGGACCAGTATGGTCCAACCATTCGGCTACGGAGGTATTTAACCTAGAGTAGCTCTAAAAGGGGCAAGTCAGAAAAATTTTGTATGCACCTTACGTCATCATCATTCCAGCCGAAAAAAGTTCACTGGTCATAGACCTCCCACAAAGATCGGCACAACGGTAATTTTCGATGGCAAATTTCACTGGCCACGGTCAAGGATAAGGAAGACGTATAATACTCAGAACTAGAATAGTAATTTTCGATGGCAGACTTCATCATCATAGTCATAATTTAAGCCGAAAGACGTTCACTGCCTGCTGAACATAGGTCTCCCCCAAAGAACGCCACAACGACTGGTGTTGTGTTGCTTGCGTACAGTAGATTCCCGCAATCTTCACTAGGTCATCGCCCACCTTAAGAGTGGTCTGCCCACGCTGCCTCATATGGTACGCTCTTTGAGCCCAACGGTTATCTGTTCTAGGAGCAATATTCCCCACCCACTGCGACTGCATTGGTTCTAGACTTCTTTTATCGGTGCCATCTTCTACGAGAGGCGTAGAGATCACTTATAACAAACATCACTTTGTCTCTAAATACTGATCTACTCGAACCAAATTCTAAAAGATTACTGTTAAAATTATACTAGTGACTTTTGTATACACTGGAATACTGTTGTAGTACGAAAAAAACACTAACCTCACGAATATGTTTTTGAAGACCAGCAACGCCATATGTCCTCAACACAAACCAAAGCTTCAAGGACCTCAAGCGACGGCTTAGAGGTATTTGCCAGTGCTGTGGAATAAATTTAGATAGTACATGAAATTCATTTTTGGTATATTTTAATATCATGCAGTTGTTTGCGACTTTAGAAAACCTGTTATTGAAGTAGTGATATATGTAAACAATGTAAGTATAGCTCAGAATATAAGTAGTGCAAAAGATGATGTGACTAAATTCAGTCAAGTTCAAGTTCGTTGTTGCTTCAAGATTTGTTTCAAAGAGTTAACACAGAGCCAGTGTAACCGACAGTACCTACTACAGGTATAATACCAAAAGTTTAAGTAAGCCAAGGTGCAAGCTGTCGTTCCCACCAGGAGTCGACTTCTAGAAACAAATTGATTGTACCGATGTTTAAATTACATTATTTTTTCTGTAACGGGCATTTTGCAATTACCCGCTGATGGATTTGACTGCGCATCCGCACAAAAGAGCAAGCTGATGGCGCATAACTCGAATAAAAAATTAAGTAGCAGTACTGAGGGCGCTCAGGTGGGTGGGGGGGGGCATAGACCTCGGCTCAAGACACTACTGGACACTTACGCCAGAAGAGCATGCTATAGCAGAAAACTTACTCTTCGTCCTCGCTAGGAGAACGGTTGTTTCGTGTATAGTACTGCGATGGAGAATTTAATTAAATGGATTAATGCCATCAACCAGATTTTTAAGGAACTGAAGATGAGAAAAGTTGTTAATAGAAAAGTATGTGAAAGAGTTCGTCGAGGGAAGTACTGCACCTTACATATTCTGCCGCCAAGTAGTAATGTGAGCTTAACCGCGTCCCGGTTTGGAAGGGTAATCCTTATTCGATTATAAACGGATACAAAGCGGCCCCGCTTTAGTTCACACGGTATATTTTCATGCGTTTAAAAGACGATAGCCGCAGTATTCCGACAGCAATCGCCCTGAGAACACGTTTGTGATGGACCACGCTTTGTTGCACCACAGCCTGTGGTGCAGAACGTGTGACTGGATCGTAGAATGTAGAATTCTATGATCCAGGCACGCGTTCTTCTGCTCATCAACTCACAGGACTTCCTTTATGACGTTCTCAACTCGACCGCAGTAAGTTCGCCAAATTTAAAATTGAGTAATATGTTAATAATTCTTAAAAATTTTAAGAAGATAAGTTCGCGACACGTGCAAATAAAAAAGATTATCCCAATAAGCTTTGTTAGTATTACGGATTCCACCACCATTTAGTTCCACTCCCACCACCACAAAGAAAGGTCACATACTAAAGCTTCCTTCTTATCAGGATTCTCCAATTGTATCTGCGTTACACATCCATGAGACGTCTTATCATACCCATGCTGATTCGATTTCGCATTATCACCATATAGTTCATTTATTTCATCGCCATACAAATCGCCATCTTCATTTGGTATTTCATATCCGCCATTTTGAATTTTGCATCCTCCATTCCCTGTTATTTCTCCTCCATTTGAAATTGATCCTTTTCCATTTGTTATTATTTCTTCATTTTGTAACTTTTCTCCATTATGACCATTTATTTTTGAATTGTCTTCATATGTGCGGTCGTCTTTGGTACGTACTTTGTTTCTCGTATTCGAATTTTGGGAGCCAATCTATTTGAAAACAACTACATTGAGCAATAGACG